AGGAACTGTTTCAAGTGCTGAGGAGCAAGGATGTCTCCTTGAGGACTAAGGTGCACCTGACACAAGCCATGATATTTCCAATTGCCTCGTATGTACATGAGGGCTGGACAATGAATAAGGAAGATCGAAAAAGAGTTGATGCTTTTGAGTTGTGGTGCTGGCAAAGAATGCTGAAAGTACCATGGTCTGTTAAAAGAACAGATCTGTCCTCGAGGAAGTGCACCCGAAATGCTCCTTGGAACCGAGAATGGCCAGACTTCATCTCATCTATTTTGGTCATGTTGTCAGAAGGGACCATTCCTTGGACAAGGATGTCATGCTTGGTAGGGTGGAGGGTCAACAAAAGATGGGGAGGCCTTCAACAAGACAGACTGACATGGTGGCTGCAATGATGGGCTCAAGTATAGCAGGGATCATGGAGCTTGCATGGGATCAGGCAGTGTTTTGTTCTGCTGTGCATGGGGTTGCTATGAGTCGGAAATGACTCGATGGCACCTAACAACAAGAACAATTCTATTCCACTGGTCTGTATCTATTGTACCAGGCTGTTTTGACTACTGTGGCTGTATAGTAGGGTTTTGAGATCCAGGAGTGTGAGACCTCCTACTTTGTTCTTCAGTAGTGCTTTGCTTATCCGAGGTCTCTTTCCCTTCCATATAAAAGTAGTGATTGTTTTTTCCATATAAGCAGCAATCATTCTTGATATGGCTTGCATGCCATGCCAATGACTAGCTTTCATGAATAAATAGGAAGTAGAGAATAGTATAATTAAAAAGATTTTTAAAGATCGCTTAGTCCAACCGTCTCTCCTTACAAAGAAGGAAATGGAGGTTTCACATAGGTAGTTGTTGTTGTTGTTGTTATGTGCCGTCGAGTCAGCCCTGACTCATAGCGACCCCTCCTTGGGTTTCCGAGGCAGTATCACTACGGAAGTAGGATTGCCCAACCTTCCTTCCGAGGAGTGGCTGGTGGGTTTGAACCACCAGCCTTCTGGTTAGCAGTCAAGTGCCTTAGCCACTATGCTGTAGTAGGAGGTACTAAATCCAAAGATGATTTGTGACAAAAATACACACAGAATCCACACATGCTGCCTCCCAGTCCCATGTTCTTTCCACTAAGGGATGTTTCAAAGTCATAAAGGCTGCATAAAGGAGACAGTTTTGAAGGGCTGGAAAGAAGAAAGTGGTGGAGAACAGAGAAAAACTAGCCTTTTTAAACCTCTACATACACTTCATCTAATACTCTTCTAAATTCTCATGTGTTTGTAATTAATCATACTTCTTCAGCTCTTCTACAGTTGTAGAACAGCACTTGCTATTCCCTCTGCCTAAAACACTCTCCCCCTAGATATTCACGTGACTCACTCCATCAGTTCCACTCAGGATTCTGCTCAAATGTTCCCTCCTCAGAAAAGCCTTCCATGACCAGCCTCATTAACACCCCCTGCATTCTTCATCTCCTTCTTCTGGTTTGAGTCTTCTTCTTAATCCTTATAACTACCTGAAAGTATTCATTTGCTTATTGGAACTGATGCTATCCCTCTCTAGATTATTAACTCCATGAAGGTGAGAAGTCTGTTTGGTTCATAACTATATCCCACCAAGTGCTTAGTTAGCACACGGCCAGTGCTCAACAGTGTACTGAACAAATGCATCACTCTCCTTTGCTGTATGAATCCAACAAGTCTTTAGATAAATGAATCACTACAAAAAACAATACAAAATTGAATGAAGGATTTTGTGTCACTCTGAGAAGCAATCTGAGAGATACAATAGGGATACTGATTTTTTTATAATTACTATATAATTCAAATGGTTTGTAGGGAGAGCAGACAGAATATTAAAATTAGTAGCTTTCTGAGAAACCTGAACCTTTGAAAGCAACTTTTAAAGACTTTTATTTCTGTAAACTACAAAATATCTATTTCCTATGTATTCAAAACTACTACATGAATATGAAAATGTTATTTTCACAGAACCAATACTAGCAACAGCATCTCATTCTTGGCATTTGTTGCTGTGTGCTATCAAGTCAAGTACAGCGCACAGCGGCCCCTCGTGCAGGGCGGCCTGCTATGCGGGGCCTCCTGGGCCGCCATGCAGGGCCTTCCAGGCCGCCGTGCGGGGCCTCTGGGGCCGCAATCTCTACCCGAGCAGGTCTTCAGGTCTCTTCTCCCTCAGAGCCCCTACTGAGTCCAAACCACACGCCTGTCTGTTAGCAGCTGAGTGCTCAACCCACTGTGCCACCAGGGCTCTCTTTTCTTGACTTTTTTTGGTCCTACCTATTCTGATGACTTCCAAATCTTGACCTTTAGCCAAACCTCTCCTAAACCCCAGAGCCACATTTCCCGATGTCTTACTTTACACCAGATGGAAACAGCACAAAAATCTTACGCATTTTCTACCAAACTTAATTCACTATCTTTTGCCTAAACTCATTTCCCCTTCCTTCATCGCTGGTCTGCTAAATGACACCAAAATTCACCTCTGCATTCTAAGCCAGAAACCTGGAAGTCATTCTAGATTCCTCCCTTCCCTCATCCTTATCATTTAGTCACTGACCAAAGTCTCTTAAATCCATCTTCTAAGTATCCCACATCCATTCATCAGGCAGATCTCTACTTGGCTCATATCTTCCTCGTCTCACTCAAACCTCTCCAACAGCAGTCTCCAGGTCTCCTTCCCACTTGCTTCTCATCTCTGCAATCCAGACTCCACATTGCTGTTAGAGTCACCATTCCCACATGAAAACATGGTCAGGTTCTCTCCCTTCTCAAAAATGTTCCTTAGTTCCTAAAGCACTACAAACTAAACACTGAAACCTCCTTCTAACAGCTGTCAAAGGCTGGTCTGGCCCCTGCCCGTCAATCTAGCCTCTTTACTCTGCCCCTCCTCCATCACATCTCATCACACCAACAATGCTGGAAAGCTGTAGCTCCTCAAGCCCAAAGGCTACCACTACACTGCATATACACTTCCACTACATCACTGCAAAAACGGCATGGTGGGGGCATCTGCCCTCCTCTAACTTCATGAGGAGAATCACCATCAGCATCAGCCCTAGGCTGATCCCTATGAGGTGGAGGTCAGATGTGCCTCCTTGCTCCAACCTTGTACCAATTCTGACACCAGCTGTCCTTCCCATGATACTCTTTATTCCTCTGCAGGATTCAATAATTTTGTTGCCATCACCACACTAAACTCACAGACCATATTCACAGTTATGGGGTTTATTAGGGAAGTAACAGGTTACAATTTAGGACCAAGAACAAATTAATACATTTCTTCAATTAGGACAGCCTCTTGTCCAGTCATGCCCACAGGCAGGCCTCTCTCTGGTCCTCAGCCTCTCAGCGTAGTCTCTGCTCTGCTCAAGCAAGTGTTATAAAGCTCTTTAGCTCTGAGGGCACCCCACTCCACCAGGAAGCTTCCTGCCTGAAGGTGCTCAGCTTTCTCGCCCCACAGGTCAGCACATCCACTGGAGCCACCTTGTTCCATGGGGAGGAAGCCCACTGAGCAGTCTCATGTCAGTTTCCTGGTTCTGCTGCACCGTTTCCCTGCCATCACCGTGTGCCGTCTTGCACGGTCTCTGGTGGTACAGCTGTCTCCCAGGTCTAGGAGGTTCTCAGCACAGGGACCCCAGGTTCAAAGAACATAATCTGCTCCCATCTCTTCTTGGTGGTAGTGAGATCTCCCCTTTCCAGCTCTGGGATGGCTCATCTTAAGCCTAGTGATATGGTAAAACTGAACCAATCCCCTCATTAGGATTCTACACACCTTATTTGCATGGCCCCATCCCCACAAGGGTGCCACACACCTAACTTGCATTATAACCAAGCTGTCCAATCCTCCTGGTGGGCTACAAGTACCTTATCAGCATAGTCCCACTCAATCATTTGGTGAAAATTAAAGACCTAGCTGTTGTTATTGCTGTTATATGCCGTCAAGTCGGACCCGACTCATAGCGACCCCTCCTTGGGTTTCTGAGGCAGTATCACTAGAGAAGTAGATTGCCCAACCTTCTTTCCAAGGAGTGGCTGGTGGGTTTGAATCTTAAAGAATTAAAGACCTTGCTGAGAAAGGCTTATAAAAGTGATCCATCACACCACAATCCTATTGCTGGATAATTACTATTTGCATAGCTATTTCCTCATTAAATTACGGAACTGTTGGAGGCCTCTTCCCTGATCCTCAAAACCTGACACAGCACTGAGCAGGCTTTTTCACAAGGAGTTAACAAAGCGATCAGGTTTTTTTTTCTTTCTCTGCCGTACAAAGTACATGTGTCAAGAAAAAAGGATCAAATGAATGAGATCATGACCTTGCTACTACAGTTCCAAAATGTTGCAACTTCTCTTTAGATAAGGAAATAATCATTTCTAGAAACAAACTATTTACAAAAAACCCAAGTTTCCTGGATTTGTTTTCAAAGTTTCCTAAAGCATATCCTTACCTGTAAAATGTTAGTAAAAAAGTCATGGTAGAACATTGGCCAATCTTGACGGCCAATATCAACAATAACTTTGCAGAGCTTGTTCCGGATAAAGTAAGGTAAGGTTTTATGGTGAGCCAAGAGAAGTCTGGGCAGGCAGCTACGGATTTCCATCTTATCCTGAGATGGGACCCCAAGCCACATTTTATTGATCAGATTCTGAAAAACAAACACCAATCTTTTAAGTTAGTAAACTGTACTAAAAATAATTGTTTACCATCCCATGGTTAGCCATCAAACTCAAAAAGAAGCAGCTCTATTTTAAACAAAGGTTTTGAGCAACCTAGGAGTAATAATGAAAAGATTCAAATCCTGTGATACAGAATTTCCATTCCTAGGAAGATCTGCTAAATAAGTACTTCAAGAGAAACAAAAAGATGTATATGCAAAAAGTTTATATTATACATTGTCTCTAACAGCCATCAATAAGTGACAAAATCAGTCTTAATGCCTGAAAATGAGAGAATAACTTGGTGAATAATGGTACAATCACTTATGGGAATATAATATAAAGGTAAGTGAAAAAAAGCAGAATATAACATGGCATGAGCATTCTGGTATAATTAGGTAAAAGGTGTACACAGGAAGGCAAAGACTGGAAAAGATCTGACACAAAAGAAAATTTCTGTCATTCCTCCTCCCACCCTGTTTTTCTTTCATTACCTCTCTCTTTTAAATGGTAATATAGAGGGAAAAGATACATGTTACCACAAACAACCTACCTAACGAACCTTAAAGCCAGCCAGCCACCTCATCCTTCTGGTGTCCCAGATGAGAAGGCACCCAGCACACCAGCTGTCTTGATAAACACAGTGTGTGGTAAGAAGTCCCTGAGCAGCTGAGTTACCACCGTTTCCCAGCCATCTGTTCCTCAAAGCTAAAGTAAAGTGTATGACATGGCAACACGAACACAAAATACTTCTCAGAAGAGTATAAAATTATCTGGCAACTTACCTCAAAAACCGTTAAACTGTACATCATTACATAATCATTCCTAGTGCTGGAGAGAAAATACAGGCAGAATCTCCAGGCTCCTATTTGCTGGGCAAAGTTATTAAGAAGCTCCTCTGAAAAAGTTAAATAGCAACAAAAGAAAGTTGTGAAAATACATGGAATTAATAAAAAGCTGGGCTGTCTTATTTTTTTAACCACATCATTCTCCATATAATGTAAACCGTGTCAAAACCAACAACAAAACCAGCTGATTGCTCAAGATAGAAAGGACAGATGATACAGTATTTATGCCTCTGAGGGTACTGACAGAGAGATGACCAAGGACACAGGCAGTGTTTTCAGCCATCTAAGTACCAATAACCTCACTTATGGATATGTTTTTAGACAAAGAAACCTTCAGTTTTAAAGTTCTTATTTAATCTAATGTACAGATGGAGAGTTTTAAAAGTATCATTTCACCTTCTTTAAAATGATGACTAGAGAAGTAAGAAAAGAAAAGGTTAAGACTAAACCGACAAAGAGGGGAAAATGCAAGAGAATTTAAGAAGGCTTAACTCTTCATTTGGGTTTGGTTTCACTGTAAGACACTGTAAGAAAACATCTGCTAAATAAGAGTGACAATCTAATGGGAATTTGAGGACACACGTCAAATCGGTTAGAAATGATTCTGCCCATCCTTAAGCTGCTGAAACCATCAGCCAGAATCCACCAGACAGCAAGCATTAAGAGTCTGTCGTTAAGGGTGCTGCCCCTGAGCACCTTGACCTGCTGCATGGGCCGTGGAATATAAGGTAAAAGAGGTGAAAGTATAAAAGCAACAACCTGAGAGATTCTAGGAAGCCCTTACAAGATGCAGTGGGGCCCGTTCCAGTCCTAAAAGTCACTTGCTCTGCAGGCTCCCTACAATTTAGGCTAACGCAAACAAGGCAATCTCATAAAAAAAAATTCCATGCAATGGCCTGTCCTAATTAAGTGCATGTCTCTATGAATCCCGTAAGTGAAGTCACAATGGAGAGAATGAGCACTGGTAGAAATAAGGAACTTTGGGCTCTGTTTTAGACTCTGCTACTAATTCACTGGGTCTCACCCCAAGCAAGTCACTGTTCCTCTTTGACGCTCAGCCTCCTCCACTATTAAAATGACCAGACTATCTTCTGAGGATCCCTACTAACAGCTTTATCAATCTTTAGAGCACCAGTATGTCACCTTTGGTGAAGAACAGCTGGGGCCCTTGTAACACAAGGCCTCCCTCCTTTCTCCTGATAGCTAGGAAAGCCTTTAGTACAGCCTAACTCATCAAAAAAGAGGCAAGTGGTTCCAGCCTACACACAATACGGCTGCAAAGATTAGGTACAGAGAGAACTGAACTAAGACACACCTACTGTATAGCACCAAACCCCCGGATTCCCCTTAGCCTGCATTTAAATCAGACATTTGTAGCATCTGGTATTTAAAGCTATTTTAAAATCAGATTCAAATATGAATATGTTCAGAAGTTTCCATTTTTAATTTTTAAATACATAAGGTTAGCAATATTTGATTTGCAAATCAAAATTAAGAAAAAACCAAAAGCATTTCAATTATAAACTAAAAAGAAGGCTTCTGAGAAATTAGTGTTGAGGCTAACAGACTGATGAAAGGAAAAGATCCTCCACCTCCTTTAGGTAAGCATCCCCACTGACAGGTTTTACTCTAAGTATAAGGCAGCATAAAACTAATAAGGGGATCACTCAGGGGGCAGAAAGGAGGGTCAGCCCAACTGAGCAAAAAGAGAGAACCCCTAGGGAGGTGACCAAGGGGGAGCTTCTAAGCCAGACACACAATCATCCGCTTGGCTCAGCTTTTACCAGCTACCCCTTGTTCATAAATGTGCTGTTTCTACACAGTGTACTCCCTAAGGGGGAGAGGGGAATATAAGGGGGTAGGTCCAAAAGGGATCACCAGGTTTAAAATAAAAAGAAATTAAGGAGTTAGCATCTACCAGGAGATGATAGAACACTTAAAGGGTTCAGGGAAAATGGGCTGCAGCCAAAGCCTACTTACTGCCCACTCGAAATTCTGTTTGAACTCTAATTGAGCTTTAGACAAAAGGTGGAATTAGTCAAAACATCTGACTGGTCAATGTGATGTAGAGAAGCCAAATGTGTCAAAGAAATGGGCTTCCAGGGTCCCTGAAACACAGGAAAAGAATTCCAAGGAGGTGGAAGCCACGAATGTAAAGTCAGTGCAGAGTAGTCAGACAACCAAAGGAAGAAACTTCAAGTTTAGATACAAAAAAAAAATCTGTCATTCTCAAGTTCAGGGGTAAATGAGCATTCAGGAGGAAAAAAAAAATTACTGTAGGACCACAGTGTAGCACATCTCTGTGGCTGAAATCTGACAACTGGATATGCTTTCTAGTTTACAGTATGCTTTAATGAATACTGTTTGTGTGAATGACTGTAAAATTCACAAGGAGGTTCCAGAAGGTACCGATGCTCCCAGAAGACCTGATTCTACCTACATCCCTCTGGTTTTTTGATGCCTTTATTCATCAGCCTTGCAGAATGGAAGACTGGCAGAGAGGATAGTGGAGAAAAGGAAAAGGAAGCCCTCAAAGGTAACACCGATTAAAATACTAGATAAGGTTCCAGTCAGACCCCAGCATGCTGAAAATAGGCTCATTCTGACACTCTGATGAGGGTGGTGGTGGTGGTGGTTGTTGTTGTTTTTAAAGTAGTCTCAGATATTATCTTATCAAAGTTCACCAATACTGCTGAAACCAAGAACAAAATGGTAAGGGGGGAGGGGCTTCCAAACTTGGCCTAATGAAAGAAAATCTTTAACTTTTTGCAACTAGGTCTGCAGACCTCACCAGCCACCAATCAGCAGAACCAGAGCAAAGAGAGTAAGAATTCAAAAGAGTGAAACAAGCAGGCTTGAAGCCAAAGCTGCCAACCCCAATAGGGTCTTCTTACAAATGACTCCTTACAACCTAATGCTTCACTTACCTATCTCACGTTTTCTTTCATTGGTCGTGCAATCATGGAAAAATTCTGTCATCAGACTTTCCAGTGCCCTGAGGGAGGCTTCTTCAGATGCCTAACAAAGAAATTTGAGAAAAACAATAAACTGAATCCAGTTCTACTGTCTTCAGTCCCTTCCACATTGCACTTAACAGCAATAGCAATTTACTTCCTCAAATCCTCTTAGTTTAACATTCTTCAAATAGATGGTATAAACCAGAAAAACTTAAGGGAACTTCCCAGTTGGCTTAAAACCCAAAGTTTAGCACACACTATAAATTCATGCTACTGTGTATTTTTCAAATATTTGCTAATGAAGAAGAGCAAATAATTCAAATTCGAATTTAGAAAACATGTTGAATGGCAAGTTAACAGCCCCTGGCCCTGCCTGAATAGGTACAACAAAGAGATTTGGGGAGAAGGTTAGCACTTCTTATAGATTATCGTGTTATGATACATGTCTGACAATAGCTTTATTTTGATTCAAGGCAGTTGTAGTCATTATTGGGAGTTTCTTTTGCTAACATCTGGTTACCTCTCAATCTCAAGGGGAACTCCGGTGGCTTAGTACCTAAGGCACTTGACTGCTAACCAGAAAAGGCTGGGAGTTCAAACCTATCAGCCACTCCTGGGAAGGAAGATTGGGCAATCTACTTCCACAGAGACACCACCCGGGAAACCCAAGGAGGGGTCGCTATGAGTCAAATCAATTCCAGGGCAGTGAGTTTAGTGAGTTCAATCTCAAAGGAGCAGCCAATAAAGATTAAGATACAGCCGAGAGTCAAGTCAAGCAGGGGCTCAAATTAGTGCTTCCAAACCACAAACCCAGAACTGTTCAGGTTAAGAATGAGAGAGGAAAGCCCCAAGGCCAATACTCATCCTCTCCCTCTTCATACAGAGCCCCTAGACCAGCTTCCTCTCTTCTCTCCTTGAAGCTGGGGCATGTCAGTTATAGCAATGAGCTTGAGTCAACCAACACTCCTTCACACAAACCCATGTGCTGAAATGTAAACCCTCCCAGACCATTTCTGAGCCCTCATTGGCATAATCTATTCCATAGATAATCAAAAGCCAAGTTCGGATTTTTTTAAATTATCTCTCAATTCCTTTCTTCCCACCCATCTCCCACCCTCCTCCCGTCCCCACATCCTCTTCATTTCCCTGGAAGTGAGATCTAATTAAATTTGTAACCACTCTAAAAACTGTATTTTGAAACAATAAACCCACAAGCAAATGTGTTATGTATCAAATTGTAACACACTGGAGGGCTAGACCACAGTAATTTACTTTTATAGACACTGAGGAACTAAAGCATTTTCTGCCAACTCTGGGGATATACCAGCACTTCTTAGGCAGGTAATAATGATAAAGAATGAATGATGCTTGTATAAATCCATCTTACATCAACTAGGATATGCAAGTACACTACATAGCTTATGTGGGCTAAGTTCAAGCAGTGCCCAGGCACAGCTGTCACTCACATACTGTGCAATTATAACAGAACTCTGACGTGTTGAGTGGTGAACCATTATACAATAGTTTTACTGATTTTGAGTTTCAGTGACTTTCTTATCTGAATTTTATACATATGATAAATATTAGCCTTCTATTCCTCTTTTATGAGCTCTGGTGGTGTAGTGCCTAAGGCATGTGACTGCTAAACAGAAGACTGGCAGTTCAAACCCACCAGCCACTCCTCAGAAGGAAGGTGGGCAATCTACTTCCATAGTGTTACCATTTCGGAAACCCGAGGAGGAATCGTTATGAGGTGGATCCGACTCAACAGTAGTGTGTATTCCTCTTTTAGGAGCTCTGGTGGTGTAGTGCCTAAGCCATATGACTGCTAACCAGAAGGCTGGCAGTTCAAACTCACTGGCTACTGCTAGAAAGGAAGGTTGGGCAATCTGCTTTCTGTAGTGATATACTGCCTCGGAAACCCAAGGAGGGGTCGCTATGAGTCGGTTTTGACTCCACGGCAGTGAGTTTGGTTTTTGGGTCTATTTCTCTTTTAAACCTCTGTATCACTTTACCTGAAAAAGATCCTTGGATTGTAAGCCAAGCTATTTTATTAAAAACTACGCAAGTGTTTCAAAAGCAGAAATAAACTGGATCAGGGGCTACAATTAGACTGGAACTTGCTTTTTTATCCTCTTTCCAGATTCTCTGTTCATCAAAACAGCCTCACTGTTCTCACTGACTGATGTTCTAAGGTGAATTTATATAAAGAATGTTTTGGTCTGTTTTAGAAATCAAACTTGTATATCATTTCACGTGAATAAAGGATTTTCTGGGTTTTGTTTTGTTTTTTAAAGTTTGTAGAAAGATTTAGAAGAATCAGTTACAAAAAAAGTAGTACATATTAAAGTAGCACTGACAAAAACATATAAACCAAGAAATATCTGTGGACTTAAAATCAGCTATTTAGTTGAGTAAATCAATAGTTCTTCCAGAGCCAAAATGGGTTCCTAAATATTAAGTCAAACCACACCTACTTCACAACTATTTTTTCAGGTAAATCATTTTAGAATAGATTCTGGGAAAAAAATCTGAGCTCATCACATTCAGACACCATGAGCCCAACAGCATCAAGGTTTATTCATACTGGTTCCTGAACCTGACAGGTTTGTGAATCTGACCACTACCAACCATGCCTGAAAGGCTGCCAGGGCAAGTTCCTGACAATCTCCCAAAAGAATCCAACCCTATCTCCACTCCCAGTCTCACTCTCCACCCACCCACCTACTGCCCCAACCCAAGAAGCTGACGTTCCTACAGAAAGTAGAAAGAAAGAAGTATCACAGTATGAATGCTTCCTGCATAAGATGATTTCCTGAAAAAGAAACTCCAAACCTAATCTCCAGATGGTTCTCAATAAGCACAAAATGAGGTGCTTGTTTGTCACCCCCAACGCTTCAATTAAATGCTAATAACTGCCTCACAAGGTATGATGAGGATCAAATGAGGTGATTCACGAGCTACTACGTAAACTCTAAGGAATTATCTACCTCATAGTTATAGCTGCTGTGCAGTGCCTAAGGCATCTGACTGCTAACCAGAAGGTTGGTGGTTCAAGCCTACCAGCCACTCCACAGAAGGAAGACTGGGCAATCTACTTCCATAAAGATTTACTGCCTCAGAAACCCAAAGGGGGTTGCTATGAGTTGGAACTGATTCGATGGCAGTGAGTTTGGTTTTGGGTTTTTATTTTCTTTTGGTCTTAATAATAAGGAAGTGTTATTATTTCACAAAAACTATACTTTCAAGTAATGAAAGGAACAAAGAATAGAAAACAAAAACTAAGTACCATGGTGTAGTAGGCTTCAATTCCAAAAAGCCATTCAAATTTTATCTCCTGCATTGGACTAACAATTTATGAAAAACATGAAAGATTCAGATAGATCATGTGACTATTTCCCATCTTGTGCTTAGCATGATGTAAGTCCCAGATCTTGAAGAAATAACGGAAAGATGAGCTTAAAATCAGATGGGATACATTTACACAAAAAAATGCCAGCTGGACTGTAGATATAAAAGGTAAAACTTAACAAAGTTTCTAGAGATAATACAGGAGAATATTTTCATTACCTTGGGACAGAAAAAATGTATTGAACTGGGCAAGACAGAGCACTAGACAAAGGCAAACACTGCTGTCTCTGAATGTCCATCCCACAGCACAACAAAGAGGGTGAAAGGAAGCCGCACAGTGCAAGAGGAGATTTACAATACACACAACCATTAGAGAACTCCTGTCAGAGTATAAAATAACTCCTACAGATGATTAAAAAAAAAAAAAAAAAAAGACTACTAATGTTTTTGATAGGCAAATAGCTAGCTGTTTATAAAAGAGGCTATTCTAAGGGACTATAAATATATAAAACCTCATTCAGCCATTAGAGAAATTCAAATTGAAAACAAAATAGTGCTACACATCCACCAGAATGTTTGTTAAAAAATCACCCCAAAATGGAGAGAACTCAAATGTCTGTCACAACCGGAGTGAGAGTTTATTCATAAAATAGACCACTATAAGACAACAAGAATGAGTAAGTAATGTTACGTGCAACAACATGGATGAATCTTGTAAACACAATGTTGCATGAAAGAACTCAAAACACATCATTCATGGGTCATTTTATATAATCTTAAGAAAACACACAAACCTAATCTCTGGCGTTATAATCAGAAAAGTAGTTATCTTTCAGGAGCAGGGATTCTGGGACAGCGGTAACATTTATTTCCTGATCTGAGTGTTACATAAGGATGATCGCCTTACCTTGTGATTTGTGTGCTTTTCTGTTAAGTACACTGTACTTCAATTAAACAATGTTCTATTTATTTTATGAAGAAAACCGAAGACACACAGAAACAATTAGTCCAGGGGACTAGTAGACCATGCAACCCTCAGCCTATAAGACCATGAGACCACAACAACTAGATGGTACCTGACTACCCCTGTCAAGCACTTGGAAAGGAATCAATGCAGGAGATCCTGATAGAGTGGGAGAACAATGTGGAACAAAACTCAAAATCATGGAAAAGACTAGGTTTATTGGTCTGAAAGAGCCTGGTGAGACTCCCAAGACTATGGCCACTAGTCACCCTTCAGGTCTAGAAACTGAACTCACTCCAGCCAAACAATAGCCAGGCGTATGGAGTGAACATTTACACCAGGTAGACACACTTCTTAGAGTGATCAATAGTGGGAGAACAGAAAGGGCAGTGTTTGCACAGGCAGACAGCAGGGGTGGGGGCAGGGGACACGGGGGTGGGGGGAGGGGACGCGCATGGCAGGAAGGCATAGGAGGGAGGAAGTGGGAAGAGAGCTGTTACACTGTGGGGAATTGCATCAGTGTCATGAAACAAATCGATGAGCTTCTGTATGGAAAATGAATTTGCTCTGTAAACGTTCACCCAAATCACACACACAAAAAAAATTTTTTTAAATGTTATATTTTAAAGAGTCAGGTTGGTATTTTCAAACTCTGAGTTTAAAAATTTTACTTTTCATCTATTAGAATAATAATTCAGAGCAGTTTGTGGACCTGCAGCAAGCCCACAGATAACGGCGTA